ATATATATATATATATATTTTCACACACACACACACACACACACACACACACACACTTTTAACTGGCTGTATCACTGAGGTCGGGAGTTCGAGACCAGGCTGGCCAACATGATGAAACCCCATCTCTACTAAAATTACAAAAATTAGCCGGGCATGGTGGTGCACGCCTTTAATCCCAGCTACTCAGAAGGCTGAGGCAGCAGAATCACTTGAACCCAGCAGGCAGACGTTGCGGTGAGCCGAGGTCATGCTACAGCACTCCAGCCTGGGCAAAGAAGCGAGACTCTGTCTCTTAAAAATATATATATATATACATACACACACACACACACACACACACACACACGCACACGCGCAATTTCCATTTCAAGATGAAAATAAGGAATGTTTATGAGCTGTTGTGTTAGAGCCTCCAGTTTAAAAATTAATACATACTACACCTTCACAGACCACAATTTGAGCCTCTAAAAACTCTTACAGGACATTATCTGTGCTCACATAAGGAGCCAGGATTCAAGTAAATCTAACCATAAACGCTGTCCACCTTTGCTTCAGCTAAAGGCAACCCTGTTCCGTTTTTGAGAAAAAGGAAGAGTCTGAATTCTACGTCATCTCTGTTCCTTCACTGCCCTCTGGTGGAACAATCTACAAACTGATCAAAAGAAAATCTAGTAAAATCTGGTAGTCTACTACAATCTAGTAAATTCGACCCTGTCAATCCCCATCACCTCTCCAGCACATTTCTGATCCCCACCCCACACTACTGGATGCTAGAGATTCCAGAGGCACAAATTTGTTTGAGTGTAAGACAAAACAAATGTGCCAGACAAGGTAGTTAAAAAAAAGCAAACAATGCATCTTAAAAGTCCAACAAATAATCTGGAGACTTTTCAGACCCATGAACATAAACAGCTGAGTCTAACAATGCTGCAGCATATGTGCAAACACACACAAAAACACACAATTTGTCCTCAAACATCAGTTCCTTAAATAAGAAGAGGCACTGGCCGGGCACGGTAGCTTATGCCTGTAATCCCAGCACTTTGAGATGCCAAGGCGGACGGATCACCTGAGGTCAGGAGTTCGAGACCAATCTGGTCAACATGGTGAAACCCTGTGTCTACTAAAAATACAAAGATTAGATGGGTGTGGTGGTGCGTGCCTTTAATCCAAGCTACTCGGGAGGCTGAGACAGGAGAATCGCTTGAACCCGGGAGAAGGAGACTGCAGTGAGCCGAGATCACGCCACTGCACTCCAGCCTGGGCGACAGAGCAAGACACCGTCTCAAAAAAAAAAAAAAAGCGGGGGGGACCATACCTACAGCATGTTCCAAAAGTACCTTGATGCTTGGAATCTTCAAACATTTATATTCTGCTTTTACAGTGATCCATCAAACCATAAACCAAGCATAGTTTTTTTTTCTTGAGATTGAGTTTCGCTCTTGTTGCCCAGGCTGGAGTACAACGGCGTGATCTCAGCTCACTGCAACCTCCGCCTCCCAGGTTCAAGCGATTCTCCTGTCTCAGCCTCCCGAGTAGCTGGGATTACAGGCGCACACCACCACCCCCAGCTATTTTTTTTTTTTTTTAGACGGAGTCTTGCTCTGTCGCCCAGGCTGGAGTGCAGTGGCGCAAGCTCTGCTCACTGCAAGCTCCGCCTCTGGGTTCACGTCATTCTCCTGCCTCAGCCTCCCGAGCAGCTGGGACTACAGGTGCCTGCCACCATGCCCGGCTACATTTTTTTGTATTTTTTTAGTAGAGATGGGGCTTCACTATGTTAGCCAGGATGGTCTCGGTCTCCTAACCTCGTGATCCATCCACCTCGGCCTCCCAAAGTGCTGGGATTACAGGCATGAGCCACCATGCCCGGCCATTTTTTTGTATTTTTAGTAGAGACAGGGTTTCACCATGTTGGCCAGGCTGGTCTCCAACTCCTGACCTCAGGTGATCCACCCGCCTCAGCCTCCCAAAGTGCTGGTATTACAGGCGTGAGCCACCGCGCCCAGCTCCAAGCATAGTTTTATAGCAGGGGAAGTAAACCAAGTGTCTAATTCTTTGTTTATAAAATTAAGCACTTTGTCAAGGCTTAAGTTTGACTATGAAAAAAAAGGAGGCCTTCGACTGCCATGTGGCACTGGGTATTCTTGTCCTTGCAAGTTTCAAAGACTGTCTTAGGAAGGAGGAGCGGGTGTGAGCACAGAAGGCCAGCTCATGCTGTCATTTCAGCCTCCCTGGGTAAGAGAGGGAAGATGGCAAAACTCTGCAGTGATCTGAAGCCAGAGCTCCTTTTTCACAGGATCTCTAGGACGTGGAGAGAAACAAATACAGCAGCAATATATATATAATCTTTCAAGACTGGCTGCCATTCTGGCCCCACCAGGCTATAACTTTACAGATAAATAAACACACAGGCTGACAGCATTCGAAGCAGTGGCAATCCCAACTGTAGCAAGAAAGCCTTGTAGCTTCTATGTAGTATCTATGGAAAGAGAGCTGCTGATGATGTATTTTAAGCAGCAACAAGCAACGCTTACTCAAGCACCAAAAAAACCCTGGTAACAAGGAGAAGTTTCCTTTTTTTTTTTTTTGAGACGGAGTCTTGCTCTGTGGCTCATGCTGGTACAGTGGTGCGATCTCAGCTCACTGCAACCTCAGAAGGAGTTTCCTGGAATCTTGCTTTCCAAACAATGCCTTAAGAAAATCTGAATTTGGCCAGCACTGTGGCTCACACCTGTAATCCCAGAATTTTGGGAGGCTGAGGTGGGAGGATCACTTAAGCCAAGTAGTTACAGACCAGCCTGGGCAACATAGTGGGCAACATAGTGGGACCCTGTCTCTATTAAAAAAAAAAAAAAAAATCTTCAAGGAAAGAAGGAAAAACTGGAGGGTGGCAGAGCTCCTGGGAAGCATCTAGTGGTCAGGCAGGCATTTACCTTACAAGCAGACTGGAGGATCTCACTTTGAAACCTCAATCCCCTTTAAAAACATTTATTCCTGAAAATCAAAATCATCTCCGAATGCTGGGTCAGAGAAAGCTGCTTCTATAAAGCTTGTGTTGACTAGATAGTCTGAACGCTCAAAGAGTAAAATGTCTTTGTCACCTACATAGTAGCTTAAAAACATAACATCACCCCATTTAGTAAGAGAAAAGAGTTGGCTCAGGAAACCAGGCATCTATGTAGAATGTTTAAGAATGGAACTGACAAATTAAGCTAGAGAAGGGGAGGAAAAAAAGCTGGAAGAAGAGCCACTTGAATTTTTGCCAGAGAGAAAATAAAATGGATATAAATCTCAGCCAGAAGTGATTCTTTAGACAGGCTGAGTAACAATGACACACTGGTTATAGAACGATTTCAAAATACACCCCCTACCCCCGCCAAAATACCAGTTGTGCAAGTGCAATCTCCCCTAAACGCTCCAAAAGCAAAGGAGAATGGATTAGACAATTCTCCATTTCAATCCTAATGCAAACAGATCCCAAATGCTAAATGATGTAAGGGGGCACTTGGAAAAGTCAGCAGAAATGACTGTAAGCTGACTACGTATTCTCAGTTTGCCCCCAATATCCCCAACCTATAGGAATGCTTTAAGGATCTAGACTGAGCTACAGGGATCTGCTTTTAACAGGAAGCTGTACAAATGTGATAAAATCTCCCAGAGAGGACCCCATCAATTAGGAGTCCCCATCAATGGGGGAGACCGCTGTCAAGAAAAGAAATTGGGGGTGGGGAGAGGAAGATTACCTTGTCCTTTTTTAAGTTATGAAAACTCATACAGAACATGAATATGCCTTCTTTTGTAAAGCAAATGATTATCACTCTACCCTCAATTTAGCTACCGTACAAATCTAAACTTTCCCACATATTTTTGCAAATGACTATATACCTATAAATGGCCCAATTATTCCAAGTTAGTAAGTTTATAGTTTTTGTCAAACCACTGGAGAGAACCAATAAAAGCTGCCCTCAGTAGAGAAAGTGTAGAATGTGCCTTTTACGCTTGGGAGGGCCACCAAGATTACTTTTTAAAATCTTTCTTTTTTGCCGGGCGCGGTGGCTCAAGCCTGTAATCCCAGCACTTTGGGAGGCCGAGACGGGCGGATCACGAGGTCAGGAGATCGAGACCATCCTGGCTAACGTGGTGAAACCCCGTCTCTACTAAAAAATACAAAAAAACTAGCCGGACGAGGTGGCGGGTGCCTGTAGTCC